TTTCGCTGTGAACCAGGGTTTTTGTTTGTTGTATGTGCGGAAGGTTTTAGTCGGCACACACAAAAATTGATGTAAGATGTCACAGTGTCAGTTAGTTCGTCCAGGTCAGTGGCTGCAGCCTCAAAAACACTCCTGTCAGTACAGTCAAAGCAGCTTTGACTCGTTGGTCCATCTTTTCACAGTCTTTACAACAGGTTTAGCAGATTTCAGTTTTTGCCTGTGTGTCGGGATAAGATGAACCAGACAGTGATCAGAGAGTCCCAAGGCTGCACGGGGAACAGATTGATAGGCGTCCTTTAATGTTGTGTAGCAGTGGTCCAGTGTGTTAGTGTCCCTGGTGCTGTCTGTACTTTGGGAGTTCGTGGCTGAGGTTTGCTCTGTTGAAGTCCCCAAAAACAATAAGCAGGGAGTCTGGATGTTTTTTCTCCACGGTAGTTATCTGGACGGCCAGGTGTAGTAACGCTTCACTAACACAGGCCTGAGGTGGAATGTAAACAGCGACCAGGACAAACAAGGAAAACTCCTGCGGTGAATAAAAAGGTTTAGTTTATAAATAATGTCTCTAAGTGAGGGCTGTATGATATTTCCAACACTGTGACATCTGTGCACCTCCCCTTGTTTTCCCGTGAACTCCCTTTCGCGATCCGGACGGATGACATTAAATCCCGGTATGCGAAGTGCGCTTTCCGGGATGTGCTCAGAGAGCCAGGATTAGATAAAACAGAGGGCGGCAGATCTGCAGAAGTCCGAGTTAGTACTGTTGGAGAGAAGCAGTTCATCAATTTTGTTGGCTAGAGAGCGAACATTCACCAGGTGAATTAAAGGAAGCGCAGTGGGTAAACCCCGTTGTCTCAGTTTAACCAGCGCACCGGCTCGTTTTCCCCTGCGCCGTTTCCATAGGATCCCAAACAGAGCTGCTGCTCCTCCAACTAATAACTCCGGGAAAGATCCGGGTTCGTTAAGGAGTGGTGGAATAGTATGAGCAGTTGACAGTCCAATATTTAAGAGCTCTTCTCTGGTAAATGTTACCAGAAAGGGATGGCAGAAAACGGCGTTGAACAAAAACACAAAAAGCACTACGGAGCGTAATCCAGAGACTGCCGTCTGCAGCGCCATTGCCAGTACTATATAATACTATATTTCAAACCGCCTTAAGATGCACAAACAGAACAGGATGAATAATCACTGAAGCAATTGGCATATTACAGTATATTACATTACCTTATCTAGCCAAGGTGTAACTAATTGTAACAACTCATACTGCACAATTTGGTTTTTATACTTTTTTTTTTATTTCACCCCTATAAGAGTTCTTAGTGCACAAATATTGGATTCATTTCATAGGTGTAATTTACGCTGGGGATACTGGGGACATATCTCCATCACTTTTTTGAAGCATTTGTTAAGTATGTTCTGAAAAAGTGCTTGAAACAAATGTTTAAAAAACTGAAACAAATGAAAATACTATAAGAGAACATGCAATGCCATTTAAATATAGAAGAAACAAATGTGCATTGGCTAAAAAAAACAAGCTGCTGAGTACTGCATTATATTCTATTTGAATTGTCATCTGAATCACTTTATATAAATAAAGACAATTCTACCATAAATTGGTGCAGACTCTAGAATGCAGGAAATTAAGTGTTTAGTGCTCAAATATTTCTAGGGGACCCCCAGACTCCCCATTTATATATTTCAGCATTAAATATTTCATCAAAATAGTGTTAAAATATCTTCTTGTCTTGTTCTCATGAACCCAATATTGTAAATCGTGCATGTGAGCTAAGTGTATCGTCACACCCCTAATTTGAACCCCTGTGTCCACACCACTTTTCAACACAGTGACGTCCTTGATTCATATCGAAGTACAAACACACCCCAAAAAAGCTAGTGTTAAATATTAATGTATTATAATAAAATGTTTCATTAAATTCATGTAACTTGTATGTAGAGATGCAACTGTAATATTTGCACCATATACACAGTAACAGTACAGTACTACATTGTTCAATACGTTGTCAATGAAAGAACATGAATTATTTGAAACAAACAAGATTGTTTGTTACCTAAGAACAAGTGTATGCTACTGTGTACGCTAATGAATAAATTATGTTGCTGTAGGTATTGTGTGTAAATTGATATGTCTGATGATTTTGCTTAGAAATACCATGACAAGGTTGTTTTGAGTGAGGGTTGAACATTCAATAACATGATGTTCTATATAAACAAATGTTACAACAGAACTTATGTCAAACATAAGTTTACATTTTCTGGTTTCAAACAGTTATTGCGGAAAGAGGATCGTTAACTCCTGAAAAATACACTAACATTCACTGCAGTAGCCATGCAGCAAATACCACAGTGAAGGTGTGATGGTGTTCTTTTTGTAACATGTTGTGTTCATGGTGTTCCAGAGCAAGAGAACACTATAGCAATTGTAGAATTGCTCATTCTTCTACTTATGATCATTATTAGATCTTTACACCATGACTATGCTTACTTTTGGCATGTATACTTGATTAGATTATAAGATTAAGATAATTAAGATTACCTTAAGTGACATAAACAAATGCCAGCAAATATGTTACTTTGGTAGTATTAACTTTACATAACAATTGCTTAGCTCTAAAACAAACAAACAAAGCTAAACACTGTTTTCATAGACCTTCATAGACAAGATTCTCTGCCAACAAAAGTTATTTAAATGTACATCGTTGCCCTCCTTGGTCTCAATAGGATAATGCTATTGTGTCCTATGGTGTTATCCTTAACAAATCTAGGTAACAACTATGAATACATTACCATTATTGTGTAGAGCTATCTGTTTCAATCTTTTGCAAGGTTTGACTTGAGGACACTACATTATACAGGGAAATAATATTAATCATTCTGTGAAACTGAAATTGTGTGTGAAAAGCACACACACATACTATCTGGACTAGATTAAATGATAACCATTACCCACACATTAGACTCAATCACCTTGTTCATCTCAGAACCTGAGGAACAAACATAGATGCTACGTATGAGCATTCCTCAAGTATGTGGTGAGGTACTTCTGAATATTCTTCCGGTTGACGTTCATTGTTTCTTCAAAGGTGAGGGACTTCACAACCTTTTTCACAGTTGGTTTTCGTATACTGCTGTGAGGTCCCGAAGGCTGTTCCCGGCAGTGCTGAGTATTTCTGCCCATTGTTCAATTATGTAGGCATGCTCTTTTGACAAGTGTTTTGTGGACAAACTCCTGGAGGATTTTGTTGACATTGCTGGCTATTGGTATCTTTCTGCAGCTGTGGTAATCTAAGATCTCAATTAATTCTTCTTGGTCAACGCTGTTTAATTAAATCTGATTGTCATGATTCAAACACTATACGCTCAGATTCAGCCATGTATTTGAGGAAATTTTCCACTACATTGCACTTCACATATCCCAAGGAAGCTTGCTTTAATATGACAGGCATGATCTTCACTGGAAGATAATTCTCCCTTGACCATCCAAAAGCAATTATTCATCCTACACTCTCCTACTGTTGCTGTCCAAAATCATGCCTTAGGTACTTCAAAAGCATTTCTGTTGTTGCATTGGTCGTAGAATTCATTCCAAAATTCTGATTAAAAAAGTTATACTGATTAGATAACCTAATAATTGTATCAGAGAGCGAGCTAATGAAACAACAATACAAAAAAGTGTAGGTTTTGAAGAAAAGACTGAAAATGTGTCTATGAAAAGTTGTTTCAAATATTCTGCTTTTGCAGTTAAGTACCTTCTCATGCTCCAGTGTTTTTATTGTCTCCTCAGGAACATTTTTCTGTCTCAGTCTTTGTATTTGGACATTTCCACTTAGGGGTGTACTGACTTTTGTTGCCAGCGGTTTAGACATTAATAGCTGTGTGATGTGTTATTTTGAGGGGACAGCAAATTTACACTGTTTTACAAGCTGTACACTCACTACTTTACATTGTAGATAAGTGTCTTCAGTTTCCTCAGTGTTGTCGCATGAAAAGATATAATCAAATATTTACAAAAATGTGACCGGTGTACTCACTTTTTTGAGATACTGTATATACACCATATATACATATCAAGAGGCTTGGGCTACAGATAGCTATGAATTTTGCAAGGCAGGTGGGCATTGTAACTTTGCATTTGAACTGTACAAGTACTCCAGTCAATCCAAATTTGAAATGCTCAAAAAAAAAAAATTTCAAATATCACGCCACATGAGAAATACTGTGTTCTGCAATGCATCCCAACCTAACGTTGATATGAAATTTGAAAGACATTGTAAAAATACAGGTTATGTACTGTATGTGTATATAAATATACAAATATATAAAAAGCAAGTTACTAATTATTGTTTTGATGTCTGAGGCACTCCCTAACTAACCCTTAACGATGTGCTTCATATATGCTGCCCTAGTTTTAGCTGTCGGCAGAGCACTCATAGGACCAGGTGTACTGCAGTACAACCACAGAATTTTACTGTAGGAAAAG